TTAAGACAATATTTTATACGTCGACCTCTTCTGAGCACGCAAATAAAGTCGATTAAAAAAAAAGCATATCGGTAGCTGCCTTCTAAATGCCACAATCCATTTGTTAAGGAAGAATTTTGCGAAGATGAGCGCAGCAAGGGCATTACGACGTCACAGCACTCCCCTCTCCTGACTACCGCTCAGCCGCGCGAATCGCGCTGCCTTTAACGAACGTTTACTTGGTCATTTCTTGGTCAAATCGTTTCAAAAAAAAATTCAACGTATAAAGGAGGTCTTCTACTTCACAACGAGCCCAAGTTTATTACAAAATAGTAAATAGAACAGCCAGAATAAAAAAAATATCTCGGCTCCTATTGGTTGGATCGAGACGCTTTTATTAAGAAATTTATGTTTTTTAAGCACTCCTTCATGCAATTGGTTTGAAATCTGTATATTAAAAAATCGCCGAGAAAAGGATCTTAGTTACCGTTTTTTTTAGTTTTTTCTTAATAACTTTTTTATTTTGCAACTTAAAAATCTGACATTTGCACAGACGCGAGATAATGTAATTACCTTTCGATTCTTTTCTGCCGAATTTCGATATCTTGACTTGGGCAGAAGATATACCCGCTCGCGTTTTCGAATATAATAATTTTGCAATACACCGCCATTTTGAAATTGGGGGTCTGGATTCCAGGTATTTGTTGAGCACCCCAACAGTTATTTTTTCCTGTAGGTTCATCCAACTTCAGTCAAATTAGTTCTTCTTATTTAATTCTGAAAATTCAGCATATTTTTCTTTTCGCCGCTAATTTTGCAATATAAAAAAATTTTTGTGAGCTTTCGCAAAAGCCTACCCTTGTAGCAAATTTCCTCAGAAACAAAATCATTAAGTATACTTCATATCGATTAGAGGCTTATTTTCGGAGATATAAGCGAAAAACTGAAAAAAAGCAATTATTTTATTTTCTTTTGTTATAAACAATATGACGCTCGATCTCTACAAATACACAAATTTAGGCTTTTATTCTGTGTATTTTTTACTTAATTTTAAGCCCATAAAATTCGAGGTAGGCCCGATTTTTGAAAAAAAACCTAATTCGTCCGGACTACTAGGCTTATTTTATTCATTATTCAATTCCTCAAAAGTTTACTATCTTTAAAATTAAGAAATAAAAGGTTGTCATTCTGTGAAGAATTGTTTATACAAATTTTTACTTTTTTTATGAACAAGTATTTGTAGAATTGGCTTTACTAGTCAATTTTTCAGAGAACTACAGGGTGTCCCGAAATTAGGGGCAACATTTCTACAGGGCGTTCTATGTCGAGAAATAATACTTTTTCTTTATATAAATGTGGGCCCAAAAATTCTTCCTAAGGAAGTTATAGCCGATTAAAGGGGACAATCTGATGATGGTTTTTTCTAAATAACTCCGAAACCAGTAGAGATAAATTTATAAAATTTGGTAATTAGCTTAACTCTTACGTGTTCAGTCCGCTACTGAAACGAAATTTACAAATTTTCATCACATACGTTCCAACACTGGGGGGGAGGGGGGTAAAATTTACCATAACTTTTTTATGCGTTGACTTTTTTGACTTTTGACTGAAAAGTATGAAATTTCAGTTTTTTAGTAAAAAAAGGTACTCTTGTTTCATATTGGTAGAATGTTCCATTTTTGTATAAAATCCATTAAATACAGGCAATACAGCGCACAAATTTTCAAAATAGATTTGCAATAAATTTGTGAACAGGAATTTTAGGGGACCTAGCTACTTGGACCAATCCAGTTTCCCGTTTGTCTGAATACAGAAGGATACTTAAACTTTCTGCAAAATGATGTAAGAGAACTATTGGATGATACACCGTTAAAAGTACGCTTAACATTACACTATCAACAACCTCTCTTTACCCATAATGTCATAAATTGGTTAAACGGTAATTTTCCTTTCAAGTGGATAGGTAGAGATGGTCCCATTCCATGGCCACCTCGGTCTCTAGACCTATATCCTCTAGATTACTTTCTGTGGGGTAGGTTGAAGGCTGTAGTTTATGCTACAGAAATAAATCATTTGGAAGAATTACAACAGAGGATTCATTTATTTGGCTGCAAATAATTTGTTTTTTTTTACTTTGTCAAATAATCATTTACTAAAGATTCGAGAATTTTTATGAAGATAACAATTCACAAAAACTAAATAACTGAACTGTCAATGCAAATAACGTCAAACGCATATTTGTTATTCAAAATCTGCGATATTGACAATTTCAATTCCCGATGATTAACACATATAACATTATTTTTAAACGGATTTTACACAAAAATGGAACATTCTACCAATATGAACCAAGAGTACCTTTTTTTAATAAAAAATCATGAAATTTCATACTTTTCAAAAGTTAAAAAAAGTCAACGCACAAAAAAGTTATGGTAAATTTAGGAAGAATTTTTGGACCCACGTTTATATAAAGAAAAAGTAATCTTTTTCGACACAGAACACCCTGTAGAAATATTACCCCCTAATTTCGGGACACCCTGTATATTTCATTTTTGCAATAAGTATTTCATTCTAAAAATTGTTTTTCTGTTAATTCATTAATCATTAGTAATATTTTTGGTTTTTCATTTAAAAATTAAAGTAGCAAAAAAAATCCACTACAACTGCACGCTAATTATATTTGAAATCGCATTATATTCCAAAGAGGCACACCTGCTAGAGCTGTCAACTGCGTGTCAGCCGAAACATGTAGCGTGCGCGCTGTACTTCTCCCCAAATACGTTTCACCGCCGGAGATATACACTTCCCCTCTCTTGCTTAGTAATTGTCCAAAACATGACATAAATTTATTTAATTTTAATAACCAATAGCATAAAATCGATGTAAAATTTCCCTGGGAACACGATGGTGCAATTATGTTTTTGCTACTTGCCGTAGTTTACGAGATATTTGCGAAAAACCTTATTTTTTACGGTTTTTTGACCTTTTGACCCCTTTCCTGACCACCTAGGTCAAAAATTTTTGCGGATTCGGCTTCCTGAGGACCGAAAACATATATTAGCGCCCAGGTTTGATCGACAGAGGAAAAAATTGAGGTTCAGCCTTCATTTCAATGGACTACGTGGAGAAAACTCCACGTGAACTTTAAAAAACTTGGGCAGCTATAATGTATATAAGTTAAATTTCAGGCAGTGACGGTGCCTCCCCTAGTAAAAAAAATTAATTTAAAATTTAGTTTAGTATAAACACATGTGCAAGTGACGGAGATACCGGGAGTTACTTTCACTGAAAACCCCAAAAATTCGATATCGTTGGATATTTTGAAATCGATCGTTACCTGTAATTTCTTGTAGTGTTCCAAGAAAAAAAATGTACTTCATTTTATTGGAAAAACGAACCATTTTCAATTTAACACTTGTTTTCATTTTCATTAATGTTACAATCAGTGTCGGTTGGTGCGTGGAGGCTCTAGCGCGGCGCCCGTCGCCCCAGAAATTTCATAGTAAAAAAATGTAATTTAAAATTTAGTTTACAATGTTATCTGGATAATTAAATAGATTAGCCTTATTAAAAGGAAATATTAAATTTGTAACGTGCGAAATTCGTTTGAAAAATTCTGAATACGTGAGTTCCGCGTAGCTCGCTCCTATATTTGTAAAGTATTTACGGCGGTGGTCATGGGTTACCGTCGCGCAGCAGTAAAAGACGGAGTAGGAGTAGCCCATATTTACTACGCAATTTGGGCTCTGTTTAGTCCGACCATCACCAAATACCCTTAAAACTTACTTATTGCTTCCTGTGTGTTTTTTAAAAGATTGTAAAAGTTTAAAATGGTTGTAGACTAATAGTAATGCTGTCTATTGAAATATCAATGGTGCGAGAAATACCATACTTTAATGAAGAAGTAATTGAAACATTTATTTAAGACAAAAGCAGAAGAATGGACTTTCACTAAAAAATAATGTTTGAATGAACACATTTTCCTATATTTCAATTTTTGATTTTTTTTTCAATACCTTAGAACCTAAATTTTTTATGAAATGAAAGTCAAAAGCCGCCTAAAACGAATTGAATTATTGTGTATCTCGATAAAATAGTATCAAAAAATCTGCGGTGATCACTGATTTCGGTTGGCCAACATGTTGCTCATCATTTATGTCTTCACCATCGTTTCTGAACTGCGTATACCACTCATGAACTATGCCACGGGATAAACAATTATTACCATAAACTTGGTTCATCAATTGAAACGTTTCGATAAAAGTTTTACCAAGATTAAACCAAAACTTAATATTAGCTCTTTGTTCGATGATCATTTTTGTGACAAATATACCGTCACTTCAGATGCAATAACTTCACTGCTGATTGTCCAAATGTCATGAAATTTTGACAGTATATCAATAAAGAATCTACTTTTGCGGCGAATGGAACTGCCAGTGTCCTCACTAGAAAAACCTATTTTTCAAAAGTCCTTTTAAAAAAACTTGTTATAACGGGTGTTTTATTTAAGACATCTTTTATTTTTTTTAGATAGGTTCCATTTAAATATAGGGACTGTTAAAAATATATTTCAATTTTCCTTCAATTTACAGTTTTTTTATTTACACAACAGACATTCAACTATATTCTATAAAAAAGAAAAAACATTTCTCGTTACTAACTTATTAAAATGAATTTCACTAATTCAGTAGTGCCAACCTTACAATATTAGAATATAAAATTATATTTTCCAACCTAAAATGAAAATGTTAAACACTTGGAAAAAAATAGTTAATCAAACAAATGACATTTAAAATTTCGAAATCAGAAAAACTTACAGATTTCAGAAATATATAAAAATAGTGTCCGATTAAAAAAAACATAACTTTCATCTAGTCGCAATGCTTATATTATTTTAAATGATTTTTTGAAACTATCAAAAAACCATACAACTTTTATAGGAAACTTTTTTCTTATGATTAAAAACATTTTCAGTAGAAAACCCTGTACATATTATTACATTTATTTTTCATTTGTTTCAGACTGCTATATTCACTGTCGTCCTTTTACCGATACGAGTAGCTATAATATGTTTCTTCGTAACTGCTGGTTGGATATTTGCCAGTATTGGTTTATGGGGTGTTACAGAAAAGGAACTGCGTGACAAACCTTTGGCTGGATGGAGAAAGTAATTTCAAATTTGTCCTTATTGTACTGCACTTTGTATATATTTGTTGCTACTTGCATGTTGAAATACAGCATAACACCGCTTTTCTGTAGAATGTAGATTACCTACTTGCTGTAAATTTAGCTTTTATCGATACTACAAAATCATCACCTGAATTCAATAATAATATCTAAATAATAATAATACAGTAAGCCAGTGGCGTGCAAGTTTTAAAATATTATTACGCCACTGTCTAAAATTAAAACAAAAGTAACTTTAAAGAAATTACGGTATCATTTAATTAATTTTTGAAAAGTTACAATATTTCAAAGAAAAAGTATACTTATCTACATATTTAATTTCAATCAATAAAATTTCACGTAAAATTAAAAATATTATTATTTATTTATCAAATTCATGTCATGTCTTTACTTATGCGTTGAAATAGTAAAATAATAAAAACCGAGTTATTGCTAAAGGTTAAAAATAGTAAAATAATGACGGAACATCAGCAAACGTAAAACCCAATAAAATAATTCATTACAGGGACTCACAAAAAAAAAACTTCTGTAACAGAGACATGAGCCTACGTAGTTCTTGTGTATATGTTGATGCTAAAATCGAATCCGCAGCCGATAGCACACTGCAAATGGAATTTATATTCCTTGGTTTTCTTTTTTAGACATTAATTTGCCTATTTTTACTCAAATAACTCAATTTTTTAAACATTCATAAAAAATTTCTTTTGGATGGTGAATACCAATTTCTATGCTTCCGCCATTTTGGATTTAAGAATTTCTAAATTAAAACCTTATTCGTAATTGGCAACTTTGAAAATCACCGAGTGACAAGTTTCAATTATAATTTTCAAATTTTGAATGCTTTTCTGATTTTTACATCCGTCATATCGGATTCGCCGTCTATCAGCGACACCAAAAACCTGCGGTAACTAAATTCAGGCAAAAATATTCAATGAAAAAATGTGTGACTTAAAGTTGTTAGTGGAACGCTGTTCTGTAAGTGGTTTCCAATCCTTAGAGGGATAAGTTATATCACATTTTTTTTGGTATGTTGTCTATCAACCTATTTTAAGGGATATTTTAGCGTTTTACTAAAAAGAAAATGGCCCGGTAGATCGTATTTTGGGCTGCGGATACGAATTCATCATCAAAAAATACACAAGATCTACGTAATCATGTCTCTGGTACGTATCTTTTTTTGTGGGGCTGTGTAATTATTGTTTTTAGAAAAAATGAGCAACCGTACTGTATATTAACAAATTGTCAGAGGATGCTGGAAAAGATAAATTTTTAAATTTTTTATTTTAGAAAGTGTCGTTTCTTAGATATTATTTATCCAAAATATTCAATTACAAACCTATTACATTTTAAAATTATTTTGAAGTAAATAACGTTCAGTAACAAAGCGCCTGCTTGAATTTAACAAAGATGACTTTAAACGGCCACTTTGAAATAAAAAAATTACTATTTACAAAACATAGGCATAGTTAACTGTCGGGAAACCAGAAGTATCTAATACAATTTTAGAAAGTAGGAGCAAATGGCCTAACATACCGGGTGATTTTTTTACCTGAAACTTTCAAATATCCCAGAAATAAGCACTCTACGATATAAATGTCCGTAATCAAAATTTAATCATTCAACGCAGGAAATATATTAGAGCTAAAATTACTTCCTCTCCCTCCCCGTTACTTGTATGGGGGACGGGGTAACTTTAAAATCTTAAATAGGAATCCGTATTTTTTATTGCAGATTTGGATTCTACGACTAAATGTACGTAGGACTTGTCTGAAACATTATTTTCGATTCATGATAGATGGCGATGTAATCAACGAGATTCAATTTTTTTCGATTTTTTCTTACTGAGAATCTATACATGCTTTCCCCCTCATTATTAAAGGCAACTTGTATGGTGAAAGTACCGAGATATTTTGGAAAATGAACTGCCAACATTACTCGAAGTATTACTTGGAAGTGCGACAGAAGTGTTTTCAACATAAAGGTTGTCCAGCACACTATTCGGTGGTATCACGTGAAGTACTTGATCGTCATTCCAATGGTCGCTGGATCGGTAAAACTAGTCCGTTAAATTGGCCTACTGGATCACCACTTCACCAGATCTAACTTCGCCAGATTTCTTTTTGTGGGACTATCTCAAAGACAAAGTTTACAAACAAGAACCAACAAGACGTAAAAATATGGTTGAACGCATCAGATACGTTTGTGCCGAAATTTAAGCAGTCATTTGAAGTGGGGATTAATAAGTGTATTGAAGTCGAAGACCATCATTTTGAGCACTTACTTTAACTGAAAGATGATGAGGGAAGAGGACTCATGTAAATCAAGCTCTGTGATAAGTGAGAAATCAAGCACCTTTACACGTGACAGGCAAAGCGATTCACGTCAATCAAGCACCCTGATGGGAACAGAAAACTACTAAGTACGTTACGCTAAAACCAGTTTATTCACCAGCCATTTATATTTCTACAGGTAACAGTTTCCCGGTTATTCGAAATTTGCAAAATGAATAAATTTTTTTGGCGGCGAATTTCGAGTATTTACATAAAACGTGATATTTTTTTATTACAAACGAATTTCAGAGTTGTATGCACAGGTTCTCAGTAGAAGAGATCGAAAAAAATGAATTACATCGATTACAGCGTCATCTACCATGAATAAAAAAAAATGTTCCAGACAAATAATACGTATTTTTAGCTGTAGAATCCAAACCTGTAATAAAAAATAGGAATTCCTGTATAAACACCTACAAGAAAAGGGGGGGACTAATTTAGTACTAGTATATTTCCTCCGGGAATGATTAAATTTAGATTATAGACATTTTTTCCTAGAGTGCTTATTTCTCGAAATATTTGAAAGTTTCAGGTTAAGAAGAATCAGCCGGTATAACAAGTCATGGTTGTCAGTCATCTGTTAAAATTTTAAATACTCGAAATTTCTAGTATCAAAATATACGACATAATGTTTAGTCACAGAAAAAATCAAATATACAGATATCTCAGTTTTAATCTATGAAACTTCGGAAGCAGATAGTACAACGAAAAATAATTGTACTTTGTCATATAAACTTATTTCGAAGTCTCAACCGGTTTCGAGGTACACGGTGTTAATAGTTTAAATAATTTCTGAAATAATAGAGATATTTGAACTAAATTTGGTGTACGTTATATCGGGTCATAAAATGCTGTAATATCAAGACTTTTGCGCAACCAGTGGCGGAAATATGGGAAACTCATTCAATCATTTTATCAAGAACCTGTGCAAAATAATAATTGGTTATATTTTTTGAAAAAGTATGCTACTGGGAACAAAAAATCTTCTATCTATCTTTTGTAAGTTAATTCGTACATTTATTTTTAATTAATTAATCAAATCATCATTAACCGCCAGTCAAAAAAAATTGACTGGCGGTAAAAAATGTTTGAGAAATCTAGAAAACATGGAAATTAATGATTCTCTTGAAGTTCTTGTAATAATCTAATAATAATATCATTGATTCGAACTTAATTTTTATTTAAATTAGTTGAAACTAGCCCAAATACATCTAACAGGAATATAAAAAATCCATTAACGCACAATATCTGGATAAAAACTAGACACTGCTGGCTAAGGAAACACCTTTACAATATGAGGAAGTGTGAAACACCTGTTTGTAGGGGCTGTGAACAGGAAGACGAGCCAGTATTCCATGTGCTATGTGAATGCACTGCCGTCTCGTCAACAAGAGAATCTATGTTGGGAGAGCGCTGGCTTTCTATGGCCTATATTAGAGATATCCCCTTGAGCAACGTCACCACCTTTTTCTCATAATAGGTTGGTTAACGGCTCAGGTGGATTGATCTCCTAATGGGAGAAGGTACAAGGGACCCAATGGGGCCTAAGTGCTGTAGCTTTAAAAGCTACCCTCCCCACAATTCCAGATTCCAGAATATCTGGATAATTTGAACAAGGAACAAGAGAAATTCAATTTGTCGTAAAACAGAGACATATATCGACAAAATGTAAGAGACATTTGATGTGGTGTTATTTGTCGACATGTTTGTCTATTACATAAATCTTCCCTGTTCTGGAGCCTTGTTTTATACATTACCTTTTTCACAGTTCCCCATAAAAAGAATTTAAGAGGCGTCAAGTCTGGAACTCTTGACGGTCACGCAGTTAACGGACTGTTGCGACCTATCCACTTTCTCGGGAAAAACTCATTCAACCAACGACTTATTATTACCGCATTGTAAATAGGTGCTCCATATAATTGAAGGTAGAGATTCTGTCTTACATGAAGAGGAAATGCATGTACTGAATCTCAAAAATCATTGTTTAAAAATTCATACAAATCTCTGCGTTTAGATTAATGCAAAAAAGAAGGGCCCGATTATTCGATCACATAAAATCCTACAAAACACGTTAATTTTTTTAATTAAGATTTATGTAATATAATTAGACAAGCATGTCGACAAATAACACCACTCAATTGAGGAGAGTTATTAAAAATAAGAGGAGACGAATTGAAGAGTGCATGGTGGACTAATAGAAAATAGTAATACATATTTAAATATTATTTCGTTGTGAAACTCTTTTCTGGTATTATAAAAAATATATATAATTTGGCTGTCCTATTGTGAGCACCCTGTATGAGTGAAATCAATGAAACTTCATGGATATACCTTCGGTTAATAAAATTATGAAAAAATATCTTGAAAATCTTTTTCACTGTTAATACAGGACACTGCAATAAGTGAAATTTTTCGAAGTTTGCACCTATTTTGTGAACACCCTGTAAAAGCTATAATAATGAAACTTTGTTTTTAGGGTTTTGAGATGTGATCAAATCGAAAATGCTATCCACTTCATTCTTAAAAAAATGCCTAATATGTTTTTTAATTTTTGAGGGTCTTTTCCTAATGATAGTAGGCCGTAGAAAATATCACGTCAAAAAATATAATATCAAAAAGTAGGCCTTTTTGAGTACTACCACATAAAAAA